AAAAAAAAAAAAAAAAAAAAAAAAAAAAAAGACCGCAAGCCCTCTACAGAGGAGATACATTACGGCCTGGGGTTGGGGATATGTGTGCCCTTGCAGGGATTCTAGGTGATCTAAGATGTTCTGCCGAAAACAGCTTTGAGGTTGCTACTCTTCATCATGTATTTTGTTGTTGTTTGGAGGAAGGCTCATGCTAAGTAGTCCAGGCTGGGTTCATACTGGAGGCAATTCTGCTTCAGCCTCCTGAGTCTGAGATTACAGATGTGTACCTGGCTCTTTACCTTATCAACTGAGCTAAATTTATGGACTTCATATTGGTCAGCTTTCCCGTCACTGAGACACACCTGACAGAGGTTTATATTGGCTCATGGTTTCTGGAGACTCAGTCCATGATTAGCTGGCTCCAAGGCAGAAAGATCACAGCAGAAGGACATGGCAAAGCAAAGCTGTTTAGTTCATGATGACCAGGAAATAGAGCAGAACAGGGTGAGGCAGGGGCAGGGGACCACGTACAGTGCTCAAGCGCATGCCTTCGTGAGCCAGCTAAACATACCTAGAATTGTGCTTTATTATTGCCTCAGGCATTTCTTAATCTATAAATTGACACATCAGATTTACAATATTTTTAAAGGATTTAGGTGTGATGGGCCTGGAAGAAAAAAGAAAAAAAGCTTAGGTGTATAAACCAGCCTAAGGAGTATGAACAAGCTCAGAATGTAATGTATGGAACAAAGATATGAATAATCCTGGATGACCCTAAGTGGAGTCTTCTTAAAAGTTACAACCCTCGTCTCTCTTCTACATATTTCTTCTATCCTACCTAACCGTGTCAGTTAGGTTTTGCTTGATGAGTACCCCATTCCTTCCTTGAATTAGCTCATCCCTTGGTGACAATCCATGGGCTTGATGTACACGGTTCTTGCCACAGGGTCTCCACCTAGTACATGATTCAAGAGACTGAGGGCTGCTTCAGTTAAAAGTGCCTTGCAAGTCAGGGTGACTGGCCACTCTGGCATGAACACAGGCAGCACCGAGTCATGTTCCCCATCTGGTTCCAAACTCGGTCCACACAGGGATTGTGTGGTCAGAAAGCAGTCAGCTAGATGACTCAGAACAGTTATCATGGAATAAAGAAATGCAACTAAAACTGTGCACAGAGAGCCTGTGGCTTCTTAGAATAGAGGCAGGGGGTCTGTGGTTATGGCTGCTGGTGGGGGTTGGGCTGGGCTGGGCCAAAGCAAGAGAAACTGGGAATGCGTTAGGTCACTCTGCCCTGGTCCAGAGCAGGGGAATTAGTGCTGGGAATTAGGGTAGTGGCACAAGGCAGAAGGGAGAGTGGCCAAAGAAGATGACTATGAGGGACTGGGTCTAGGACCTGGTTCTGCTGTGGGGTAGGAGTAAGCCGAAGGGAGAGGAGGCGGCTGGCTCAGTGGGCAGATAAGTGGGCCTCCAGGAAAGTAGGCCCAATGTCCACATTCTCATTTCCAGGAACTGTATGCTCCTGGACATGGCAAAATGGATGGTACACAGTGGCTAGATGAAGGATGCTGCAATGGGAAGATCCTGGTTACTCAGGTGGCACAAAGTGATCACAGGGCCCTTTGCAGGAAAAGGAGGCAGAAAGGGACAGGGATGGGAAGACTTGAAGTAGGCAGCTCAGATGAGCGAGAGCCACCAGACAGAGCACAGGCTGCCAGAGAAGTTGCCCAGAGTCAGGAGCCAGCCCTGCTCACATCTGATCTGAGCCCAAGATTCACTTTGGACTCTTGACCTTTAGCGCCTTAAAAAAAAATGTGTTAAGCCAGTAACCTGCGGTGATTTGTTATAGCAGCCACAGGCAACCCACACCAGGTCAGGAGTCTCAGCTGACACAGGAAGGAGGCAGGGCTTCCAAGAAAGAAGTGGGGTAGACAGGTGGGTGTCCAGGATCTGGGACAGGCCAGGCCAAGCATGGGCCTGTGCTCCCTGGAGAGATGAGGGTGTGGCATCTGGAAGAGGAGGAAGAATCCTCAGCAAGAGCAGTCAAGAGCAGCAACAATGTCTGAAGCAAAAAGCAAAGTGCTTATTGGATACGGCAATCTGTGACTCCAGCAGGGGGAGACTAGGGTACAGCAGGATTGGGGGCCAAGGAATCTAGGGGGTGGCTGCTGGAGAGGAGCGTGAAAGAGCCCCGAGCATGTGGTGTGGAGCTGGAAAGCAGCCATGGTGTGGAGGCATCTTTGTACAGGAAAGCAATGGGAAGGCAGCTGGGAAAAGCGGAGGGCTGGAGCCTTCGGTCCAGGGCAAACCTGTGGCACAGGCCTGGAGCCCCTGCAGAGCAGACACCTGGACTTAGGACATGTGGCTGCTCACTAGAGTGGTCAGGCAAACCCCATGTCACTTGGGCACACCTTTTTCAGAATTGGACTGTACATATATGTGTGTGTGTATACTTTTTTTTTTTAATTTCTTCCAAGAAACCCTCTTCAAATACAACAGCTCCCTACTGATGGGGGTATATTGGCACCTGTTTCCAAGGTCTTGGTGTTGATGGGACAGAGCACATCTGTCCAGGGAGGTCACGAAGATCCAGAGTACCTTCCCTTGAGAGGCCCTGCATCATCCCTCATCCCAGCAACTACACAGCAGGGAAGGTGACATCCCAGGGTCACAGGCCCAGGGTTGGGCTCCCATGTTCTGAGCAAAATGACCTCTGGACTGAGCCCCAGGGCTCTGGGTAGAGCCTTGCTTTGTTTTTATTTTTATTTTTTCCCTTTTTTCTAGTACTGGAGAGATAATGCCGGGCCTTTGTACTGAGCTAGCGCCAGCTTTTTAAAAAAGTTTTTTTGTTTGTTTTTTGGTACTGGGGATCAAACTTGAGACCTTGCGCTTGTGAAGCAGGTGGCAGAACCACTGAGCTAAATCCCCAGCCCTTTTTTTTTTTAAAATATTGAGACACGTCTCACAAGATTGCTAAATTGCTCAAATTTGTAATCCTCCTGCCTCAGCCTCCCAAAGTATTGGGATCACACACATGTGCCACCGTGCTCAGCTTTGCTGCTTATTTTTAAGGTCCCTGAGAAGTGAAGCCTACAAATTCTTAATATTTACTGATGGCCCCTTTAGGGTGATAAGGCCACTTAGGGGCACAGCCAGGACTCAAACCCAGGACAGACTCAAGAGAACACGTGCTCCCCCTCTCCCTGCCAGACAGTCCAGGTCATACCAACTAATGCATCTGTAGGACACTTTCAAAAATGAAAAATGAGCCGGGCATGGTGGCATATGCCTGTGATCTCACCACTTGGGAGGCTGAGGCAGGAGGATCACCTAGGCTATACAGTGAGGTCAAGGCCATCCTGAACTATGTAACAAGATCCTGCCTCAAAACAACAGAAAATGCATCATAAAAGTGTAGAAAATATTTTATCTTCCAGCAAATCACCCCCATTATCACACTTGCCACCATCATCTTCCCACTTAGTGCCTTGCGAGCAGCTTTGCTCTTTCCTTGCTGTTCCAGGCAAGTGAGGACCCCCTGAGCTTCCTGAGGGTGGGCACAGCCTCTGCCTCTGCAGTGCTGTGATGGCAGCTGCTCTGTGAAGGGACTGAGGATAAAGAGGGTTGTGTGCTTTCTCTGGGTCCCCCTGCCCAGGGGTGATTTCCTGTGTTTTGTGGTCCCCCATCACTGTGCTCTTTAGCTTTGCTGCCAGGAGCTGGTCCACCTCCTCCTCATCCCAGGGTGGACAGTGATGTGGTCCAGCAGGGGATGGAGAGGACTTCGGAGGCCGGGGACTCATCTTCTCCAGGCTTCACGCTGGGTGCCTTCAGGGGAATGGGAGGCTGGGTGGCCCATCTCTACTTCAAACTCCTGCTCCTTCCCTGGAGAGGGAGTGACCAGAAAGGCACAGAGGAGCTCAATGGTCAGGGCCACAGTTTAGTGGGACGGTGTATGACTAAGTACTTGATAATCCGCAGTTAAGGCAGAGCAGCGCAGCACAGCACAGCACAGCACATGTGGTTTTCTAGTCAGAGCTAGAGAGCCGGGACAAAGAGCAGCTGCTCGGCCGATTCCAAAAGGGTAAAGCTGCCCTCTGGCTGGTCACCCTTCACCCGTGGTCTGTGCTCTGCAGTGGAGATCCACCACCCTACTCACAGGTGAGCCCCCAGGTGAGCGCAAGGCAGACTGACATTGCCGTAGTGCAATTCCAGAGAAGATTTGAGGTCAAAGGGTCCTCGAAAGGAACAGGAACTCTATGGAAGTCTCCAGTGTAAAGGCACTTGCTTGGCAGACTGCCTTAGAAGCAGGGCTGCTTTCTTACAGCACAGGATCCTGCTCTCTTGCTGGTCTGTTTTCAGACAGTAATTCTGATATAATTGGTAAACTGCACAATCACAGCAATCATACTCTTTGTGAGAACATTTACTGAGTGCTGACCGCGTCAGCCTCTCGTGAGCATGTCCGAGGCCTCCTCCTCAGTCTGTCCCCACAGCCACCTCTGTCCCTTTGCCAGCCTCAGAGACTCTGCTCACTCAGGGGCCAGAGGCTGTACCTGCACGGCTCTTGATGCCTAAGCAGGATAAGATGCCACTCGATCCTGGTGTCCAGGTCTTGGCCATCAGATTCCTGGTGGCCAGCTGTGGGGCAGCAGCAGGACAGTGGTTAGAAGGGTGGGTTCTGGAGCCAGACCTGCTGTCTTCCTGACTCTCTCCCACCCCACTCACCCACAGAGTGACAGTAACCACCGCTGTCAGCGGGCTCCTCCTATGTGCTCGTCAGTTTCAACATTTTCCTGCAGGTGCTCACTGAACAAAGGTGACAGAACCCCTGTCCTAGGGTGATGGTAAGGAAAACATGGGAACATCTGTGCAGTGCCCACACCCCAGGCCGGCAGACGCTCAGTAAACACCGCTTTGATTTAGAAGTGGTGGGGCTATAGCCATGAGGGCAGGGCTCTCTGCCTGGTTCCTTGGGGTCTTGATAGTGCTGGGCACCAAATCACTGGGTTGCTCTCAGTGGACAGCAACAAGGGGACATGGTTCCACACAAGAGCGGTAGGCCTGTGAAGGTCCCTTCGAGGCGGACACATCTGATTCTCATGTCATCGGGGACACCCTTCCGCTCTCATTTTGGGACTTCCGGGCCCGCTGTTCCTCTTCCACAAGGTCAGCCACCAGGTTCATCTTGCAGCTCCTGAGCACTTGCACCAGGTGGGCCACAGTCGCGTTCTCCTTCTCCGAGTTCTTCCAGATCCTCAGCGACTCCCTCACCCGCTCCGACAGGTTGCGGGGGTATCGCTCCTCGATTCCATCAATCTTGGTGTCAGAAACATTAAGCTGACGGGCCAGTCTTCTCCAGTCTCTCCCCACATTATCACAGATGACGTCAAACGCGGCACGCAGGTCTGAGAGGGAGAGTGCAAGATGATTTATTGAAGGTTTGCAGAATTTTTAGGAGACAGGGCCCCCACCCCCAGGGGCTTCAGTGTCCCCGCAGTGCTGTCCAGGGCAGGCTGCAGGTCCTGTGCTGAGGCTAGAGTTAGCCAGCTGCCCAGAGGCTGTCACAGAAAGCCCCACTGGTCTCCAATTCTGCCCCAGCCAGCCTCCCACCCTGTAATGGGTCATGCTGGGTTACCTGCTTAGGAGTAAGGGAACTGAGTGAGAGGTCAGGGAGTCCAGAGAAGGAAGAAAATAGAGCTACCCTCATATCCCACTCTATAGTTGGTTGAATGATGGTCCTTGAAAGCTATCTCCATGTCAAATCCTTGAAACTCCATGTTGATGTACTTAGAAAAATATCTTTGCAGATATAATTAAGTGAGGGTCTTGAGAGGAGATCTTCTGGGTGGATCTTAAATCCAATGGCAACTGTCTTTACAAGGTACACAGAGAACAGGTGTGATAGCACACACCTGTAATCCAAGCATTCTGGGAGGCTGAGGCAGGAAGATAAGTTAGAACCCAGTCTGGGCAAGATCATGTCTCAAAATAGTAAGGGCTGGGGATGTAGCTCAGTGCAAAGGTCCTCAGCTTAGTCCTCAGCATTGCAAAACAAAAAAAAAAAAACCCAAAACAGAGGTGGCCATATGGCTCAGACCAGAGTGGTGCAGCCACAAGCCAAGGAAGGACTGGAGCTCCAGAAGCTTGACAGGAAAAGGCAGGATAGTTCCTGAGCCTTCAGAGGGAGTGTGGCCCTGCTGACACCTGGCTTCTCCAGATTTCTGGCCTCCAGACTGTAAGAGGATACATTCCTATTGCTGTAAGCCACCAAGTTTGTGATAATTTGTTACGACAGCCCCAGGAGACTAGTTCACACCCAGTTCGTGGTTGCCTCAGCCATCAGAATTTGACCTTTGGCTACCAAGCTTCTCTGCTGAATGGTCACTACCAAGATTAGAGAGTTGAGCCCTGCAGACCATAAAAGGTTGTTTCCGGAATGTGGGCAGGGAGAGGAGAGCTGAGGCAGGACAAGGTGCTGTGTGGAGAGCACCTGAAAATTCAATCTCTTCCTATATATCAGGGACACCGTAGGCACTTGTGCCAACTCCTCCAGCACTGACAGCCATGAGAGCCAGTACTTGTTATTATAAGCATTAGTGCTGGTGAGGAAACAGAGGCACGGGGATGTTAAGATTTCCCTAGAATCATACAGCTAGAAAATGGTAAAGCCGGGAGGGACTCAAAACCCTGAGAAGCTGGTGCTAGAACCTACCTTTAACCAAGGTGCTGAAATGCCTCAGTACAGGAATATACAATCATCCATTTCTCATCCACCCACACATGCTGTTAACCTGGAGCGATTTCCTCCAATACCCAGTACTACATAACTACATAAAGAAACACACAGCCACAGCCACATAGGTCTAAGTTATTATACATACTTTTAGCACTGTCTTTTAAATTTATCAGCATTTCCTCAGCATTAAATGTTCATGAAAACAGAGCTTTTCTATGTCCTGTTCTGTTGTCCAGCAGTGTTGTGTCAGAACCTGAACGCCTTCAGGCAGAGCTGTGCTCTGTTCAGGTTGCCACCAAGAAGCATCAGTCCTAACAGAGTAATACTCGTGGTGTCACTTTATTCCGTTTGATTCAATTACCCATCGGCCAATGTGGGGTGTGTCCCTAAAGTACTTTCCAAACTCCCTCCCTGGGGCTTGAGGAACATGGAGATGAGGCTGAAAAACCTTGAATTCCAGTCTCACTTTTACTCCTGGAACTCCTGCAAGCCACAGGTAAGGGTGGAAAAGGGATAACAGATTGGGTAGGAAGTCTCTCCAGAGTGAACTCTATCAAAGAGGCAGTGCTGTGGCTGACACAGGGTATTCTTTATCTAATTTCTGAATATCTACATAACATAATCATAACAAGGATTTGGGGATCCAAGTCTACACACGAGATTCCTGTTTTCCTATACATTTTAGACACACATCCTGAAGATGACTTTATGAACTATTTTAAATAACCCTGTGTGTGAAACAAAGGATCAGGATATGGAATTTTCTACTTGTGGCATCCTATCAGTGCTCAACATTTTAAAACTTTGTAGCACCTCAAATTTGAGACTTGTAAGGCTGGGCACCTGTAATCCCAGCACTCGGGAGGCTGAGGCAAGAGAATCATCATGAGTTTGAAGCTAGCTTGGGCTCCATAATGAGTTGAAGGCCAGTCTGAACTCATAGTGAGGCTGTCTCAAAAAAAAAAAAAAAAAAAAAAAAAAAAAAAAAAAACAAAAAAAGAGAGAGAGAAAGACTTTTAGATTAGGATATTCAACAAGAACAACCTGACCTGAGGTCTGGCTGTCTAGGTTTACTTCGTTATCAGCTGTGCATCTGGGCAAGCCATTTACATCTCGGAGCCATAGTTCCCTCCTGTGAAAGGTGGAATAATGATGGATAATAAAAGACTATCAGTCAGCTTTCCTCGGGAGACATCCCACAACTTAAAGGAGGAGGTTTCAGGTTTCAGGAAAAGGCTCATGATTTCAGTGGCTCTATCCTTGGTTGTCTGCCTCCAAGGTAGAAGTGGCACAATGGGAGGGCAAAGGAAAGCTGCTCTACCCATGGCAGTCACGAAGTAGAGAACGGAGAGGCTTGGGATAAGAATATACCTCTTTGGATTGCTGTGAGTTCGAGACCAGCCCAGGCTACATAGTGAGTTCCAGGTCAGTCTCAACTACAGAGTGAGACCCTGTCTCAAAAAACAAAACCAAACCAAACACAAAACAAAGAATATACTTCTTTGGTTCACGTCCCCAGTGACTCACCTCCAACGAGGGCATTGCACATTCAACAATGAACTCACCAATGTATTAATCCACTGTTGAGCATAAAGTCCCTGTGATCTAATCAACTTTTAATGTTCTGACTCTGAACCCGTGAGCCTTCTGGAGGGCACTTTAGATTTAAGCCACAATACTACACTTGATCTTAGCCAAAAGGCCGAGAAGCGATTTTAAGCCACAATAAACAGTATTTAACAGGGCTATTGTGAACATTGAGCAATATGTTAAGTGTGTATGTAGTAAGTGGCACTCTGCAAGTCCGTGAGTCAGAGTTACTAAGTGAGAAACGATTCTCCCAGGACGGCTACAGGCATTAGCAGGACACACTCCCAGAGGCAGAAGTCAGGCTCAGCTGACCTCTGACAATTTCCTATGACTCCACCCTACCCTGACGTTAGCAACGCCGCTTTCTTCAGTGAATTTTGTATACTTCCTCGGGAGAGTGGGGGCGGCAGAGTTAACACTGAGGTGTAGGGAGTGGCTAGACTCTGCAACCTTAGGTGAATTAATTTTTGAGTTTTGATTTGGAGAAAACCCACGCAAACCGAACTTAGCAAAAGTCAGACACCCGGTAGGGTCTCATGGACTACGGCCGGGCGAACTGGCCCTGCCTCCCTGGCCTCCACCCGCTCACCTGCCTCCCCCGGCGATGCCCTGGCGGTAGCTCCCGCCTCGAAGCTGTCTAGGCTCTGCAGCAGGTCGTGACGCCGCAAGGAGGCCAGCAGCTCCCGCAGCAGCACGGTGTTCTCGGGGTCCAGATCGTTCTGCTCAAGTAGCACCGAGAAGAGGTCAAGGCCGCATTGCACGCGCTCCAGCTTCCTCTTGCCTACGCGCCTGTGGCATAAGAACTTGAGCTCAGTCACCTCGCTGCTCGACAGGCTGGCTGACAAAGAGTGTAGTAGCACCAGGAATGGGTCCATGGCATCCACGGCTGCCGTATCAGGACCTACGCGCGTAGTTTCAGAACCAGCCGGCCGCTCCCTGACTTTAGTACTAGGCTTGCACCCCCCACTTCCGGGTTGCTGCAGGAAGTCACCATTGACTTCCTGTCTTGATATCTCGCGGGAACACTGAGATCTGCGCATGCTCTTTGTGCCTAACAGTAATCGCTTCCGCCCGGGGCTGGTTCGACCGAGTTCGCCGCTACTTCTGCGCCTGCGTCGGTTGTATCTTTCGCTGGGTGCAAACCTGAGAAGTTACCAGTTACTGCTCTGGCTTCGCGGGTCTACGCTGGCATATTTTCAAAGCACTGTGCAACCCTGATGTGAGGAGGGCCGGGGCAGGTCTGGAATGGCACCTGGGAGTCAGCGCGGTTCCTGTCGTTGCAGGGTCACGTTAAATTACGTATGTTAATAACAAATATTATACGTGAACATTTACAAACATTGGAAGTGCATTCTGTAGTGCTGAATTTGTGTCTCTCCATAACTGAAGAATGAATACGAGGACAAAGGTTGAGAATAAGAAAAGTTCATTGCGATAAAGCTCCTGAGAGACAGGAGGGGGGCTGAAAAATGTGTTGCTGCTGAGACTCTTCGGAGGTTTTTATTCACGAAAATGACTACATCTCAACCAGTCTGGGCCAAGCTGAGGCCACGCTATGGGGTTGCAATATTAGCTTTGCTAATACTGACCCAGTAGAGAAGCGAGTCGTGCAGCAAGTGCATACGGTGGCATTATGAATGTTAGCTTATCGATAGCTTCTATTGGCATTAGAAACGTTAGCTTATTGATAGCTTCTAACGTAGAAAGATCAAAGGCATTTCCGGGAAGGGTAGGAGTCTGGGTCAGGGCAGCCTGGTCACACATCTATGCATCTAATCGCCTTATTTAGGCTCACTGGACCAGCTGGTGCTGAGTACAGACAGTGTTGTCAATCTCTAGGGAGGCTGCAGGCCTAGCTCTCTTCCAGTTTGTCTCCAGCCCCGATCTTGGTGTGTCTTCTGCACTGACTCCTTTGAGGGCTGGGTCCCTCTCTGGCTACCTATTAATTTCTATCTAATTTAGCAGTCTGTAATAACAAGATTGTGCAAACATCATCACTGCCGTCTAATTTTAGAACGTTTTCGTCATAGCAGTCCCGAACAGGATACCTATTAGCAATCATTATCTTCCTATCCCGTCTTGGGAAAATATTAATATACTTTTTATCTCTAAGGATTTGACTATTCTGAATATTTTATATTAATGGGAGTATAAAAACGTGACCTTTTGCATTGGGCTTCTTTCATTTTCAATTTGCTCATGGTTTGGCCATGTTGCAGCACATATAGTACTGCTTCATTCCTTTTGGTGGTTGAATAGCATTCTGCTGTCTGAATATACCACAATTTCTGTCTCCTTTCATCATCTGGTAATCACTAAATTTCTTTCCACTTTTGGGCTGTTATGAATAATGCTGTTATGAACACTGAGTTGCATCTTTAAAGAATCACCCTGGGGCTGGGGATTTAGCTCAGTGGTCCTGCCGCCTGCCTCAAAAGCACAAGGTCCCAAGTTCAATTCCCAGTACCCCCGCAATAAAAGAATCACTCTGGCTGTTGAGAAGTCAGGACCCTCTATAGTCAGGGATGAGCAGGCTGGGGCAAGAGTGCAGATGACAATAGAGGCTGTGAGAAGGGGACATTCTTTTTAAGATTAGGGAGAGGGTATACACAGGAGAAATTTTGACACGTGGGAAGGTTTGAAGGATAGAGCTTCCACTGGGCAGCCAGGGAAGTTGCGGGGTGGGCAGGCTTGTGGGAGGAGCAGGGCTTAGTTTGGGGTCCGAGATGCCTGTTAAACAATTTGCTGGAGATGTTGAGCATAGGATGCACAGGATGAGGGGTTGAGCAGGAGATGGAAATTTGGGAGTCGTTTGCAGATAGATGTACGGAGAGCGTCCACAGAATGAGGCCCTCTATGGAGGGAGGCAGATAGAAAGGTTGGCCAGTGCTCTCTTCCAGTTTGTCTCCAGCCCCGATCTTGGTGTGTCTTGTCTTCTGCACTGATTCCTTTGAGGGCTGGGTCCCTCTCTCTGCCTGCATGGTCAGAGATACCCAGCATTAAGGGGCCAGGGAAATGTGGAGAAGTCAGAGCAAAAGCCTCCATGGCATATGGTGGGAGCCAAACCAGGAAGCGTTAACCACATTCCGCATCTGCCTCGCCCAGTTGGAGTTTGTTTTGCAGTGCCCGGGATGGAGCCCAGTGCCTTGTACACACTAAGCAGGCATTCTGCCACTGAGCAACATCTCCAACCTTAGGGCGACTTTTTGAAGGAGGCGTAGGGCTGGGCGAGGTGGCGCACACCTGTAACCCAGCACCTGGGAGGCTGGGGCAGGAGGGTCACTAAGTTGAGTTCAAGGCCGACCTGATCTATAAAATAAGATCCCAACATAGTTATTCCTTTCCCCAAGTTGGCTCATTAAGTGCATTTGTTCTCCTATTCCTCACATCTGCCTTCACACCCCCTTGCTATGTTGTATAATCATTAATACTAATCATACTAAATATTCCATTGTGCTTGGTCTTAGCAAGGACGGAGCTAAGATCATTTGATCTTTAGCCAGGAGAGAGCTAAAGATCAATTCCTTGCCCCCCAAGTAATAAATTATCTGTCAGGCCTGCCCTAAATCAACAGGGGGAAAAAAAAGGCTGCTTTTAGCAAATACCAGCAGCTTCTCAGTAAGTAGGGCAAATGGACTAAAAAAATATGATTTACAATCTCTGGCACAGAACAGTCCAGTTATTGTATACATGCCTGAGCAGACCGTCCTTGGGCAGCAAAGTCATAAATATGTCCCCCTCCGATTCCTTAGCCCCTTCATTACCTATATAAGCCTAATTCCATTCCCACTTAACTGCCGATCTCTCTTTCCTCTGGTGTTAGACCAGGCTCTCAGGGATGAAGTCTATCCCAGGTAGCTGCCGGCTGTCTCTCTTGCCTGTTGTCAGCCCATCCACACACAGATTGATAAACTTGGCTTTTCCCAGCTAGCTTCTAAAAACCTCCTGATTTCTAGTCCCTGTCAACTGGAGTAAACTTTTCTTTTTCTCACAGTGGAGAGCCTGTTTTGGTTGACAGTGGATTCTTTATAACACTATCATTTGTTATTCTTTATTCCTTGTTCTTTGTATATTATTCTTGCATCCCCTGCTGTCCCCTCATCAGGTGACTGGGAATCCCCTGGTGACTGATCAGGCTGTCAACCTGACAACTGGTTGGGCTGTCACCCCTGTGTGGGCTTCCAACCCATCCTTTCCAAAGCCCAGTGTTCACGAGGTCTATCCCTGGGACAGGCAGCTAGCAGGTTTCTTGTACTGTGCACCCAAGTTGGTCCCTGAGTGACCCCTTGGGGGAGCACAGGTTCTAGCAGGGCTTGCAGAGCCAGTGTGTCTTAGGTACCCCTGGAGGAAGGGCTTGGGGAGTGGCTCCAGTCTTGTGAGGTTGGGCTGAGGACTCCCAGCCCAGGCCCCATCACTGCAGGGGGCACAGCTGTGGCTCTGCAGCTGCTGAGGAAGCCTGGAGCCCTTGTGCCCATCTGCTCCCTTAAGGGGCCCACACTCACCTTCTGAGGCATGCAGGAAGTGGACTGCACCTGCTGCTGTCTCCTCTACTTTCCTCTATTCTCTTCATCCTTGATGTCCTCAAGGCCCCCAGGTCCCTTAGGGTGTCAGCAAGAAATGGCCCGTGGCCTTGCTGTGGAACCAGGGGACCAGGCTTCCTTGGCTGGGCCTTGCAGGCCAAAAACCCTGCCAAGCTGTTGGGACTCTGCCCAGGCATGGGAAGAAACCTGTCTTGCATCTTCTAGAAGATTCTCCCTGAGAAGATTCAGTGTCCAGGCATAGTGTGAGCTTGTTTCTTGAGTCTGTCTGTGGACTGAGGTGGGGCAGGCCAGGGGAAGTGCCCTGATATAGGGCGTATGATGTGGAAATGATATGTGGACCTCCAAATAATAGAAGGGAAACAGTATAAGTCCCAACATGCTATATGTACAATACACCAAGTTCCTGTTCTCTGAAATCAAAGAAGGAGTTGGAGTAATGGTGGTTAAGAGTGAGAAGTATTTAGTGAGAGAAAGATAGCTTTGGAAGGTGGATTGCCCGTGGACTCCACTTCACAGGGGAATTTTATAGAGCAAAACCAAGAGGCATGGCAGGTACAAGGTGGGACAAAACTATAGTCAACTGTTCCAAGGATTTAGCCCAGTGGCACCACGCCCGCCTCAAAAGTGCAAGGGTCCTGAGTTCAATCCCCAGTACTGCAAAACAACCCCCCCCAAACTATAGTCAATCAATACAAACATGGTTACTTGAGTAATACTGATCCAATGAAAAGTCAAAAAGTACGTATGAGATGGGACAAAACTAAGGTCAACTAATAAGATTACAAGATAGTTGCTTAGGTAATATAGATTAAATGGGGATCAAATGGGGGAGCAAGTCACGTAGCAAGTGTGCATGGAACAAACAATGATTTTCCAGGAAGAAATGGGCTAGGGAGGTTTTGGTCCCCGACTCAAGGTGATTGATGCCTATTTAGAACATCAATCACTGCTGTTCATCCCTAGGGGAAGTATGAGGGTGTAGTCAATTATTTTTGTTTGGAAGCCTTACGTCCATGGAATGCACCTCCAAGACAGTTGGGAGAAGATATTTACGTATCACATATCTGATAAAGGAGTCACATCCACAATATATAAAATATCCTACAAGCCAACAATAAGGTAACTTGATTTTTAAATGGGCAAAGAGGCCAGGTATGACAGCAGGCACCCATATGTTAGCTTATGGGGTCCGAGACAAGAAGATCACTTGAACCTAGAAGTTCGAGGCCAGCCTGGGAAACAGTGAGACACTGTTTGGGGTGGGGCAATGGACTTGAATAAACATTTCTCCAAAGGAGATATGAAAATGGCCAATAAGCACATTAAAAGATGCTTAGCATCACTAATCACTAAGCAAATGCAAATAAAAACCTCAATGAGACACACCTCAAATATTTTTAAAGAAAATAAGAGTTGAC